CAGTATAATATATATATATATATATATATATATATATATATATATATATATATTTTTAAATCATTTTAAATTTTTTTTAATTATTTATTTTAAAATTTACATACATATATTACTAAATAAAATTAATTAAATATAATTTATACGAATTATATATTATTGTTTAAAAAATAAAATACAAACAAATAAATATTTATATAATTTTCTTTATTTCATAATAGTATTTTTTTAGGTATTTTAATATTAAATTTTTGATATATTTCTTCATTTAATTATTTATATATTTAAGTATTTTTATGTAACGGAAATTTATCAATAAATCTTATTTATTTAAAATTTTTAAAAAGATATAATTTATAATATAAAAAAAACCTTTATCTTATATAAATGTTTTATATATCATTTTTCGAACATAATTCTTAATAAAATATTTATTCTTCTCCATAAAAAACAAGCAATACAATACTAGTACACATTGTTACTTAAAAAATATATAAAAAAAAATTATAGTAATATATATAAACATGTTGAATAGGCAATATTAAAAATAAATTTTTTTTCTATTTTTATAAAAAGAAAATAAAAATGAATTTATAATTATTAAAGGTGTTATTTCTTCTAATTAATATAATCTGAATTCATATTATTTTTATCTAAAGATAATAAAATGTTATTTTTTTTAACTAACTCTGAAAAAAAATATATAGTTTACTAATTTATTTAATTAAATAATTGTAAGGTTTGAATACGAAAAAATTTATGAGCAAATTTTTATTTAATATATTCTATGAATTAGAAAAAAGAATTATTTAAATTTAATATATTTTCTTATTATAATAAAATTCTTGGCTATATGTTATTGTTTTAATCCATAATAATTAAAAATAAAAAAAATATAAAATTTTTTATATATAAAATTAAAAAATATTAAATATTTTATATTATAAATACCAAAAAATTATAAATAATACAATAAAAATATTAACATAATTAAATATAAATATATATATAAAATTTGATAAATATAATCAATTATTTATAATAAAAAAAATAATGTTCTAAATAAAAAATAAAGTAAACAAATTTATGTAATATATGCATTTATATAAATTAAAATGCTTATATATAATTATAAAAATTAAAATATATAAATATATATTGATTTATATTAAATATATATATATTTATATATTTATATACATAGAAATTTATATATATTAAATTATACATATTACTAACTACAACCATTATTTTTTTGCAAATATTATATTTTTTATTATTTGATAAATAGCATTTATTTTCTAATTTCTACTAGCGATTAATTTATTTCCTAAATTATATATTACTAAAATCATATTAGATGCTTACAATTAATTGTTTAAATTTTTATATAAAAATTAAGTGTATTTTTATTAACCTTGAATATTTAAACATTCTTAATATTATATTAAATATAAAAGATATTTTTTATTTATTATTATATATAAATATATTTTTATTATATTAAATGTTAAATTATAATTATAAATTTTAATTCAATAATTTTTATAAATTAAGAATTCCATTAAATATTATCATTATATAACTAAAATATTATTTTAATATGCAAATACAATAAATAATAATAACATTTAATTTTTGATTAAAATATTTATATATATATATATATATTTATTTTCATTTATTTAAAAAAAATACATTATTTTATGATATATATATATTAAAAGTTAAAAAATTATGAAAATAAAATAAATATAAACTATTTGAAAATAAATTAATTATATATTAAAATACAAATTTATAAGAAATTTTATTAATATAAAATAAAACAAATAAAATATTTAAATAATTTATAACAAATAAAAAAATATATATTTATTTATAATAAATTATTAGAAATAAATAAAATTAAATATAAAAACAAATTTAAAATTATTTAATATAAAATAATTAATTTTTAAAAAATAATAATAATAATATTTAAATTATTAAAATAATAAAATATTATTTAATTAAATATTTAAATATAACCTATAGAATGTTAATAGAATTAATTTGATATACGTAATAATTTAAAATAATTGATAAAATAATATATATTATATATAGAAAATATTATTTTAAAAAATATAATTTAATCAATTATATATTATTAAAAAAAATATATAATAATATATACATATACATTATTAATTCGTAAATAAATATTTTTTTTAAGAAAAATTATTATTATTAATTAAATTTGTTAAAAATATATATATTTTTATATTAAAATCTCTAAACTAAAACAAAAAATTATATTATTATTAAAATTAATCTAATTTTGCTATATTAAAAAAATAAAAATATTTAAAATAATAATAAATTAATAATTATAGTTATAATATAAAATTAAAAAATTCCATTATATTATTTCATTAAAAACAATTTTAATTTCTTCATTATTATTAGTTAAAATTACATATTTACATTCCATTCCTTTCAATTCTTAATTATTTTTAAAGCTTTATTTTTAAACAATTAAATAATTTATTTCACTTATTCAAATATTTACTTTTATATTTTAAAAAAACCATTCTAACTTTTAAATATAAATCAAAATTCGAGAAAAAAAATTAATATAAAGGAAATTTAAAATTTTCATAATAAAATAAAAGCTATTAATAAAAATAACAAAATAATATCTAAAATAATGTTAATTGTTTAAATAGCCATATTATAAAAAAAATATATAATTATTTCATAAATAATTTAAATTAATTCAAAAAAACAGGTTTTAATATAAAAAATTGATTTTTAATTAGTCTAAAAAATGAATTTATTAATTTTTAATAACATATACAAATTAATATTTAGTATTATAAATATAGAAAAATTGCATAATATTTGAAGATAAAATATTAAAAATAAATGATTTATATAAAAAATATAAAAATATAAAAATATATATATATAAATATATATAACTATATATACTTTTAGTTTTTTTTTATATATATGTTATAATATGTTTATTAATTTTAATCTAATTTTTTATTTTATTTTTAAACTTTTTAAATATTGTTTTTATTTTATAAATTAAATATTTTTTTAAAAAAATATATATTTTTATTTTATTTATAAAAGTATTAATTAGTTTTCATATTTATTAAAAGCTGATTTAATTTTTTATTTTTTAATATGATATTAAAAAATTTAAAACTTAAATTATTATAATATATATATATATATATTTATATAAAAAAATCAAATAAATATATTTATAATTTATTTTATTTTAAATAAAATATTTATTAAGGTATTTATTGTTATTTTTATTTTATTTATTTTGTTATTATATAAAAATTTAGATAATTTTTTTTTTATTATTATTAATACACATTGTTTTAATAATATATTTTATAAATAATATATATAATTCTATTAAATATATAATAAAATAAAACAAATTAAAAAGAAAAAATGAAAACAAAAAAAACATAAATTATTTTTTCTATCAATAAAAAAAAAATTCTTAATAAAATATCTTTATTATTTTATATAATATTTATAAAATAATATTTATTATTATTTTTTTTCATTATAAATTTCCAAATAAATTTTTTTATTAAGAATCATCATTTTCATCTTTTTTTATATTATTTATTTTTTATTATAATAAAGCTTTTTTCCCTTTTTCTCTTAAAATTTTTTTCTTATCATTTTTCCAATTTTCTATTTTTTACTTTAGCTCAGGAACTTCCACAAGTTAATCTCTTTTCAATTTTTATCTATTAAAAGGATCAATTTCATTATCTAAAAGTGCTTTTTTTATAATAGATCTTTCTACAAGTTAACCAGATGAAGGTAATTAAACAGGATCTTTAAGTAGCTATACATATATTTATATATATATATATATATATATATATATATATATATATATATATATATATATATATATAAATATATAATAAAAAATAAATACACTAAATGTTAAAGCACATAAAAATTCATCTGGAATTTCACCTTGAAAAGCATCTTCTAATTATTCGTCTGTAATATCGCCTTCATCCATATTTTTTGGTTATGAAACTTATTTTTATTATATATTTAATTAATTTAAAAACTAAAGAAACACTTCTTAAATATCGTAAGGAGTTAGTTGATCTTTTTTAGCTTTTTTTAAAGTTCTATCAAACAACTCAATATCGAAAGAATGTGTGAGAGTTATTTTATTAATAAATTAATTTGAAAACTAAATATAATATATATATATATATATATATATATATATATATATATATATATATATATATATATATATATTTATTATTTACTGATAAATTAGCATATATAGTAACTAAATCCCTTAACATAGTGTTTGGACTAAAAGAATAATCTTTTTAATTATATTAATTTAAGGAAGGATCCATAATTTTCATTAAAAAATTATATAACATTGTTACAATAAGTTCAAGAAAAGCTTGTATAAATATATATATGTTATAATTTATATTTTTATATTTAATTAAAGATATAATTTTTTAAATTACATGAATAAATAAAAATAAAATATATATTTATAATATTTATATATATATATATATATATATATATATATATATATATATATATATATATATATATTTATATTATATTTAAATATTTACTATCAGATAAAAATGAATTAGGTGCCCAATTACTCATATTTGCAATTAAATTTATAGTTTCTTTAGATTATTAATTGAATATTTTAGCCATATTAATACATCGATCAAGTGATTATTATTCTTCTTATGATAATTTACTAGGATCACCTTTTTTATAATAATCATAAATTTACTTAAGATTCGTAATTCCTTCATCTGTGCAATAATTACAATCATTAATGACCATATTTATAAATCTTTCAAATAAATCAGGATTATTATTTATTATTTTATATATTTCTTCTTAATAAATCTTCTCTTCCCATAATTTACTAAAAAGATAATTTACACAATGTCTATAATTAAATTTTGAATAAAACATATTATCACTTGCAAATTCAATGTCAATATAAAATTTTACAAGGGCTAAAATATATTTATATATATAATAAAATATAATGTAAATCGATTAAAATAAATAATATAGTAAAAAATAATAATTAAATTATAATATAATAATATATATATATATATATATATATATTAATATATATATATATATATTTATATATATTTATATATATGTTATATTTACCTGGTATTATATTTCTTTAAGCATATATACTACTCATTATAATTTTATGCATTCTATCCTTATCTGTATTATAGAAATTATATAAACTTTCAACTAATTTTGAGGCTAAGTATTTATTTGTTGTAATTTTACAATTAGAAAGAAATAGTATAAATATATTTAAAATTTCTAATATATGTGATTCTTATAAAAATTATTTAGTGTATTTATCTCTGAATTATACATAAAATATATGGAAATCAAAAGGATCTAAAATAATATTTTCAGGTAAATAAGTGACATGTATTTAAGGTCTTTTTAACAATATATATATATATATATAATTATATTTTTATTATTATACTTTATAATCCTAAATTTCATTATTCTAAATTTTCTAAATATCTAGTTTAAGCCATTTTTATAACATAAAAAGCTATAAATCATACATTTTAATAACTTAATTAATTCTACTTTCTAATTATAAGCAAACTTCGTATTAAAAATATTAAGCTTTTAAATCATTTAAAAACTTTTCTGCTAATTTATCTAAAAAAAAAGTATATATAAACATATTTATATTTAATAAGAAAAAAAAAAAAATACATTAAAAATTATTCTAATCCATTCTTTTAAATTATTTTTCTAATCTTTATAATTGTTCAGCATTATCTTTAAAGTTATCATAAATAGGAATTAATCCAAAATGTCCTAATTATTAACATAAAAAAAAAACTACAGTAATAGTTCCGAACTCTTAATTTTCTACTTCCATTACTCCCTTTTAGTTTTCTAATTCCAACTTTTCATTATAAAGGGATTATTCTTACAAATGTTTAAGTCTGGAGCTATTCAAGAAATACTCAGGAAGTACTTTAAGCCATTTATCTTCATTTTTATTGAAAATAACTTTGGCAATTTCAAGCATTACATCGAACAAATTTAACATAAAAGCATCACTAGCAGAATTTTTTTTAATATTTTTATTCTATTATTATAATCTATTACCTAATTTAGCTCTATCTTTATTTCCAACAATGCATGCGGCAACATATCTTAACATATCTTATTAATAATTATATAAAGGGCTTTTTTTTAATAATTATTTAACGATTTCAACTAACATTTTATTATATTAACTATATTATTCTTTATAATACTTAATAAAAATTAAATAAAATTTATAGAAATATTAAATATAATATTACAATAGAAGCTTATTTATATTAATGCATATATTTGATATTATTAAATTCAGAAAAAATTTTCCTTTAAATATATTAATTTCTATCTTTATCCGCAGGAAATTCCTCTAAAGCATTTAATGTCGATATTCTAAAAAAAGGACCTAAAGCAGATTTTAATTCTAAATCTGTTCCTTTGACTTAATCTAAATTATCATCTTTAAAAATTCTTTTTCCATCTTATCCAGGAATACTTTAAAAATTAATAAGTAAAAAAATATATATATAAAAATATATAATATAAAAATATATTAATATTAAATTAATTATCATATAATATATATATAAATATATATACATATATACATACAAATATATATATTTATATATATATATTTTTTACAATGGATATTTTTCTAAAAACATAAATTTTTTTTTATAATGTTCTAGTTAAAATAAACTTAACAAAATTTAAACATTAAATAGACATTTATCACTTAATATATCTGTATTTCTTTAATTTTAAATTATATGATTTAATAAATTTTCTGTAAAAATATCATTTGGGTAATCTTTTTGTATTTTTTACTCTAGTTCTTGGTAGAAATCTTAATTAAAACCACATTATTCAAACATAGTTATTATTTTTGCACATATAATATCTTTATCTTATTTAAAATTTTACCAAGAAGAACATAGCCATTATTCCGGGAAAATATCAGGTGCATTTAAACTTAAATAAGCAAAATTTGTTAATATCTTATTTTTTTTATTTTTTATTTATTTATTTTTCTTAAAAAATTATAATACTTAACAACTATATTCAATAAATTTTTAATTATGTTCATTATTAATATTCCATGGTTTGTCTTTTATTTATTATGCACGATTATAACAGTATGAATAATATTATAATAAATTTGTATTTCTATATTTTTATTATACAAATATATATATATATAAATATATTATTTACTTAATATTAGATCTTTCCATTAACATGGAATCAAATAATGTTTCATTTTATAATAATAAAAATTATTCTTTATATATATATATATATGTATATATATATATATATATATGTACCTCCTTATTATTTTAATTCATTTGAAAAATCTTTTAAAAATACTAAATCTCCACTTTATTTTTGTTTTTGTTTTATTAATGGGTTAAATGTTTATTAAATATAATTAATATAACATATTATTATAATTACGTAGTTTATTATATTTATGTTGTAATTTTAAAGATTTCTTTTAAGAGACTTTATTCTTCTTAGACTGTATTTAACATTTTAATAAATTTTCTGTTTTAAAACTATATATTTTTATTTTTTTATTTATATTTATATTTTTTTATTTTAATATAAAAAATATAAATATATTCTATTCTGAAATAATCAAATAATATAATATTTTATTTAATAAATTACTTTGTTTTTTTGTTTATATTTTATTTAAAACAAAAAAATCATTTTAAATAAATATATGAAAAAAAATCAATATAAAAAAATATTTGTTTTATATAAAAAATAGAAAATTCTAATTAAAATTTATGTTTAAAAATAATAATTAAAAAATTAAACTTTTTATATTTATATAAATTATTTAAATAATTAAATTATTATATTTAACTCATATTTTTATTATTTCCATATTTTCATATTTTATTCAACATTATATATTTAAAAAAATCTGGATATATATTAATAATATATAATTTAATAGTTTCTTTAAAATTATCATAATTATAAATATCAAGTAATGTTTATGATTACATATTAATAAATTAAATATGAGTTTCTTTGTTAAATATTATTAAATTAAAATCATTATTAGCATTTATTTTTATTTTTTTCTCATTCTTAAATAATTTTATTTAAAATGAAAACTAAAATTAAAAAAACAACAGATTATAAAATTTTGTAAATTCATAATCTTTAATAAACAAAGCCACAATTTTTAATAAAATAGAAAGTATTTCATTAAATCTACAATAAAACCCTAAAAATACTACAAACTAAAAAACTTCAAAAATAGATGATTTAATAAAGAAAAAGAAATAGAGATAATATATAATATAATATTATTAATATATAAATAAAATATATGATAGTATTTTGAATTGGAGATATAAGATTAATAAAAAGTAGTAATAATTTATGTGATTACTAATAGAAATAACAAAAATAAAAATAAAATTATATAATATTAAAATCATAAAGATATAAAGTATTTTGGTAATAATTAATATAAATTATATATTATTAAATAAAAAAAAAGGAGTGATAAAATTAAAAATTGTAGATATAAAAATATATTAAATAAAAAAGATATAAAATTAAAAAAACATAGTATTTATTCATTCAAAAAGAAAAAAAAAAATATTATAAATTAAATTTATTTTTAAAATAATTATTTTTGAAAAATAAAAATAAATATTAATATTTATTTATTCAATTTAATTATAAAAAAATATATAAAAATAAATCTGAAAATATAAAAGAATAATTATATATTTATAAATACAAAATTTTATTTATTAAGAAATATTAATTTGTAAAAATTAAAATAAAAAATATAAATAAATAAATATGTATATATATATATATATATATATATATATGCATATATATATATATATAA